GTTACGTAATGCTCGAAAAAAAAAAAGCTTAAGAACAAGGAAATATAAGGAATGCAGCTAACACAGAGTTAGTTAACGCAATAACATTAATCAGCATACATCACGAATTTTCTAATTCAATTATAAGGGAAAGAGTGGAATAGTGTGATAGCGTTGGACACAGCTTTTATTTTGAAAGGGATTATGGTACAAAAATTTGCTGCAAAAAACGGAGCTCCTTATGCAAACGATATCGATGTGAGGGGAACTCTCATTTTCATCGTTTCCGAATCCTTCGAATCGTGATCTCCGCACTGCCGCTACATGCAACCAATGCACACTTTTTCGATTCTTGTCGGCTTTTTGTAGGTTTCCGCTACACGATTAATGAGCGGCACAGTACAAGTTCAGATGTCAAGACAACACAGTTAATAGAAGTAACGAAAACACATATTCAGCTGCTTGCCTCGATTTATTTTCGGAAAGGCCCTAAAAGGCTGTATTCCGATATCTGAGTTACAATCAGATAAACAAAGACTGGAACCAGAGCACAACACGGATTTCAAGTGGACAACGTGCTACATAAGCGATAGAAAAACATCAATCACTGCACTGTTTCTCAGTACCAGTTGTTCATGGTATTTTGATCTAAATTTTTTAATGTTAACATTCAGCACATAAGTTAATGTAACAACAAAAGGAACACAACGTGCATTTATATTAAGAATTAGAAAGAAATGGACGTCTTAATAACTCCGGAGTAACAGTGTGAGAATCCCATGTTAATGATGTTACTTAAATGATCCCATATTTTTGGGGCATTCCATGCATTTATAACGTTGGAAAGAGTGACAGTAGGCAAAGATTATGTTTTTATTTTTTTTAAATTTAAAATATTTTCAAAAAGTTTGCAAAAACCTTTTTTTTTTGATTTGGTGATTGATGGTACACGGCCGTTCTTAATTGCTGGAGTGATTCTCAGTGCTAGCGCCTTCAGAAACTCGTTTGCCTCTACAGCATTCCTGCCAGCTTATTAGAGTAATACAATTAAGAGGGCGTTTTCTCACCTGGCTGCCCGAACAGCAGAACCGATCAGTGGATTGATTGGAAGTGCAGCAGCATCCTTGGAATACATCGGCTCAACTTCCCCCCTCAGCCAAAACTGATCCTTCTGAAGTGGCGGCAAGTCATGGTGTGCTTCATCCACTATGTACATTGCTGTCTAGAAATCGTTTATTTGTGTCAGTGGTACCAACGAGATGAAAGAGAGAGACAAATAGATAGATTTGAATCGTAAAATAGATTAAAATTTTCAAAACTGACACTATGTCGTCCAGTTCTGATCATGCTACCTCAGCTGGCACTGTGACGCCAAAAATACCCTGTTTAAGGTGAATAATGCGCGATGAGGTGAATAGTTGGGTGATTTACCGGAAGCCGCACGGCAATACGTTGTTAGTTGGCGTAAATTTCACAGCATCACAGGTAGTCTAGAAGTCCGGGAATGGAGGGACTACTCTCACTCAAAATTGGTTCCACTATGATGAAAGCAGTGTGGATAATTTGAGAAGCATTTTCTTAACTGGAGTTTTTTTACGAAATATTGGAGCTAAAAGGTGACTACCGTGAAATTTTTA